CCCCAGCAAGATGGGTTGGCCAAGTGGCAGCATCAATGGACTCAAGCGTGGCAACAGTAGTGAGGTTGGCCCAGGATCGGGCAGTGTTTCGTTCTGTTCTGCATAAGGTTGCTATGAGTCAGTACCAACTCGATGGCACCTAAGAACGACAACCTATAAGCATGGCCTATAGCCATGCTTTTAGTCCTTCAGACTTCATTTTATTCCTAAAACTCAAAGAACATTTCAAAGGAACATAATTTGAGTCCCTTGAGAATGCCAAAACTTCCATTTGGACCTGATGTAAATCAGACAGCACAGAATTCTTTCAGAGAAGGATTAGAAAGGTAGAAACCCCACCTTCAGAAATTTGTACACCTGGTTGAAGGATATTTTGAGAAATAGCTTTACAATTTCATATTTTTGTTTTACAAAGATTCTGTGATTATGTAGTGGTACTTTTTGACTTAACCCTGTGATGTAGAGCTCTTAAAACTGCTTTGTTCTGTGACCTTTAGAGTCTGTTTGCATCACTATCCTAAATACCCTTAACCTCCGGAAGACACCATACTATATATAGTGGTGGATATACTAAAATAAAGGAATTTACGGAAATAAAAGTACGATATTAATACAAAAATAATAATATTGAAGAAAATAAGTGATACGAGAAAGTGACATGTGATGCTGTGAATGTAAATAGAATTTGGTCATGAACCTTACATTTTGATCCTGAGTAAATGTGGGAAAGACAGTCTAGGAACATTGATAAGAATGATTAAGATTAATGAGTGAATAGTGAGTAAGAAAGTAGTGGAAATTAATCCTTTCCTGGATAAGACCAGCTAATATAGGGGTTTAGTGCTAGTTGAAAGGAGCTCTGTTAGCGTAGTGGTTATGAGTCGGGCTGCGAACCTCAACGTCAGCAGTTTGAAACTACCAGCCATTCCATGGGAGAAGGATGAGGCTATCCGCTCCTATAAAGATTTACAGCCTTGGAAACCCTGTACAGGGTCGCTGTGAGTTGGAACCAACTCCACGGCCCACCAGTATTAGTTGAAGAAGACGGCAGTTTGTTCTGGTGACAGTGGCTTGGCCATTGCAAGCATAAAATTGATGCTATGTTATCAGGACTGATTGTGAGGGTTGGAAATGTAAAGGTAGACGTTTTATAGCAAGGAAGGGAGTGATTAACTCTCCAGTCTAGGAGTGGAGGTCCCTAGGACCATCAACGGAGAAGAGCTGAGAGCGGGGCCCTACCCAGAGAAGCAGTGATGCCTGAGATGGAGGCAGAGACGAC